TTCATTAGTTTGTAGTTTTCTTTTTATTCTGTATCCTTTGTTTTGTGTCCTTCTTTGGTTTTGTTATCAGGGTGATTAATGGCCTTATAGAATAAGTTAGGGAGGGGCCTGTCCTTGATATTTTGGAATAGTTTCAGGAGTATTGATATTACTTCTTCTTTGTACATTGGGTAGAATTTAACTGTGAAGCCATCTGGTACTGGGCTTTTCTTTGCTGGGAAATTGTAAAAATTACTGATTAATTCTTGCTGCTCATTACTGGTCTATTCAGATTTTCTATTTCTTCCTGGTTCAATCTTGGTAGGTTGTGTTTTTCTGGGAATGTATCTATTTCCTGTAAGTTTTCTAGTTTATGAGTATAAAGTTCATTATAGTCTATGTTAATCTTTGTACTTCTATGGAATCAGTTGTAATGTCTCCTTTTTCATTTCTGATTTTGTCTCTTCTCCCTTCTTTTCTTGGTTAGTCTGGCTAGTGGTTTATCAATTCTTTTTATCTCTTTGAAGAACCAGCTTTTCATTTCATTGACCTTTTGTGTGTTTTTTTTTTTTAGTCCATATTTCATTTGGTTCTGCTCTGATCTTTATTTATTTTCTTCTGCTAGTTTTGGGTTTGGTTTGTTCTTGCTGTTCTAGTTCCTCGAGGTGCGTTCTTAGATTATTAATTTGTAATCTTTCCACTTTTTGTTGTGGAAATTTATTGCTGTGTTCTTCTTAGCACTGCTTTTGCTGTATCCACAGGTTTGGTGTGTTGTATTTCCATTTTCGTTTGTTTCAAAAAAATTTTTTTAAATTTCTGTCTTAATTTCTTCATTGACCCTATTGTCATTTAGGAGCATGTTGTTTAATTTCTGTGTATTTGTATGGTTTGTAAAGTTTCTGTTGGTATTGATTTCTAGTTTTATTCTGCTGTTATGTGAGAAGGCACTTGATATAATTTCAGTTTAAAAAAATTTGTTGAGACTTTGTTTTGTGGCTTAACATATGGTCTGTCTTGGAGAATGTTCCATATGCTGACGAGAATATTGTATATTCTGCAGTTGTTTAGAATGTTTTGTAAATGTCTGTTAAGCCCATTTGGTCTAAAGTCCAGTTTAAGTCCAGTGTTTCTTTGCTGATTATTTGTCTAGATGATATGTCTAATGCTGTAAGTGGGATGTTGAAGTTTCCCACTATTGTGTTGCAGTGTATCTCTTTCTTTAGGTCTAGTAGTATTTGTTTTATGACTGTCAGTACTCCAGTGTTGGGTGCAAATGTATATTTAGAATTGTTATATATTCTTGCTGAGTTGGTCTCTTTAATATTATATAACCACTTTCTTAGTCCTTTTTTTTTAACTGTTTTTAGATGGTTTTTTCCTCTTGCCATTTTTAGGATTCACTCTTTCACTTTGACTTCAGACAGTCTGATTATAATGTTGCCATGGTGAGACCTTTTTACACTGTATTCGTTTGGTGATTGCTGAGCCTCTCATATCTGGATCTCTAAATCTCTTAACTATCAGTCATCTGTCCTGTGCTGTGCCAAGGATGAAATAATTCTGTGTTTTGTCTCTGCTTGGTAGAACTTGTCACCCCCAAGTAAGAACTAAGGCGCTGTGAAAATAAGTTTTGCCCAGTGTAAGTGTAGGATGTTCAAGTCAGATGTTTAAACCTAATTCCAACATTTCTTGCCCCAACCATCTCTATAAGTGATAATTAATTCTCAGCTAGTCTAGTAAAGGAGATAGATATGTGAATAAACAAATTACAAAGTTGTAATTTATTCAATGGTTTAATGATTACACAACCATTAAAAATGAGGAATAGCTGTATATTTATTGCCATTGAAATACGTTCACTATGTGTTACTTTATTTTATTTTTTTGAGACGGAGTCTCACTCTGTTGCCCAGGCTGGAGTACAGTGGCACGATCTCGGCTCGCTGCAGCCTCTGCCTCCCAGGTTCAAGCGATTCTCCTACCTCAACCTCCCAAGTAGCTGGGACTACAGGTGCTGTCACCACACCCAGCTAATTTTTATATTTTTAGTAGAGATGGGGTTTCGACATGTTGGTCAGGCTGGTCCTGAATTCTTGACTTCAGGTGATCCACCCACCTCGGCCTCCCAAAGTACTGGGATTACAGGTGTGAGCCACCACGCCCAGCCATCACCATGTGTTATTGAGTGGTAATACAGACTCTAGAACAGAATGAATATCATGATCCCAGTCGTTTATTCACTGATTCAGCAAATGTATATTGAACGCACACTTTGTGGCAGGCACTGTGTTAGGTATTTGAAATACATGGGTGAACAAAGCAGTGTTCTTATGGAGTTTGTAACCTATTAACATAGAAAGAATGCCAGAGTAGAGACAGAATTATAAGAGGCAGCTTGAGGTACAGAAAGATTTGAGTTGGAAGCCACAATGGTGAGTTCATCCATAACAAGTGCGTAATTCTTGGTAGAATATTCTAGATACCTCTTTGGATTTCTGAACATCTTGGGAGCAGAGGCACTAATCGTTTTGTTCTGGACTATCTTTTCAGTGAGGTGTATATAGTGAATAGCCTTGGAATATATAACAATTCTAAATATATATTTGCACCCAACACTGGAGTACTGAGAGCCTCTTGAGCCAAAGACAAGTTTGTTGTTCAGTTTAACAATGTCTCGTTAGGGATAAAGGTCAGGCAGGTTTGCTTGATGTAAGATTTGGGTTCCCCCAGTTCAAGATTCCTCAGCTGTGATTAAAACCCATTGCATGCACAGCATCTACCCAGGCCTCTCCAAGTTGCACTATGGGACTTGGAAGACAAGAGGAACCAGTGTGAACCTAAAGCTCATGCTACTTGCCGTACATGAGTAGTAAAATTTTTTGCCTCTGACTTAGGAGTCTGTTGTCTTTTGCTAGCATCCAAGAAAGGTAGCAGTCCAATTGGTTACCTTGCAAATAGGCGAGACCCTTCACAGCTTTTAATGCATTCAGATGTGAGTTTATTTTTATTTTAATTTGAGGAGGCTCAGTTTTATTAAGGTATCGTTCTTATTTTATGGTGGCTTTTAGCTTCTATTTCTTGGTATTATGTTTAATTACTAAAAGGGTAGTGGATGTTTTTGCTAGTTTGCTCTAGAAGCACACTTTATGAGATGTCTGGACGATGCAATAAATTTTATCTCCAAAGTCATATACAAAAATGTCATTCAAAAGCTATCTAACCACAATGTATTATGCCTCTATACATGTTCTAATGTACAAATGTCATATATAAGAGTTCTTGCTAAAACAGCTTACTTTATCTTCTATCCTTATGTTCTGCCACCATTTTCTCCAGACTGAAATGGCTAGAGCCATGTTTTCAAACCCAGGTTTTAAAATTTTGACAAAAATGTTTCCAATACTTTAATATTTTAGTGAGTTTTAATTGCTGTTATATTGTTAATTTGAATACTTTGTTTCTTAACTCCTATAACTCAATGAGATTACCAATCCTTTGGCCAAAAGGAAATGAGTTTTTAAAAATTTATCTTTTTTACTGAAGTTAGAATCTTTTTACAAGCGAAAATCAGATTTGAAAAGTTAATTATCTAAAGTACAACCTACTTCATGAAAACACTTTACTAAATTTCACTAGGTGGTTTTATTCCAGTAAATTTAGAAACTGTAGAGCATCTCCCTCCCCAAAATAAAAGCCCCCATAATTATCCATAATTATTTTTTAACCTATATGTTCATCCTTTACCTAGCCGTCTTACTAGTTAAATAACATGGAGAAAGAAGTAAAACAAATTGGCTTCAAGAAGCTCTTGACTTTAACATGGAATGGCAAGAAAGTGCAATAGAGAAATCTGCCCTTTGTGACAATATACAGAAAGTATAGGTAGATTTAATTTTATGAGAGATCTCATCAGCCTGGTTACTTAATTATTGTTCTTTGTTGTAAATTCAGCCTTCCTTCATTACAGCTTCTGAACAAACATGTTTTTTGATCTGTGTTTGGTAAAGATGATTCATTCCTTAAAGGGACAGATTTCTCTTTTTCAAAGAAGGAACTTACTCTGTTTTTGCAATATTTAAACTAGTCTGCTATTGATGGATATTTATGCTGATTTTTAATGCCAGATTTCATCATTGTAATGTTAACTTTAACATTTCTGAAATTGAGAAATGTTTAAAAATAGTTGGTACTTACTATTGCTGTTTGCCATCCTATTTAAAATTAAAAACCTTACTCCCTACCTCCAGTCATCTTTTATCTCTTTTTCCTGCTTTATTTTTCCACATAGCACTATACTAACTTATAGCACTTATACCGATTGTTTATTGTTTTTCTCCTCTCATAAGCAGGCAGAAATCTTTTTGTTTTACCACTGTAAAATGTACTTTACCTGATACAGAGTGAGTACTCAATAAGTATTTGTTGAATGAATGAATGAATGAAGAAATGTATGAGTGTCTGTTGTGGTCCAGATACCGTGCTAAGCCCTTTCTGTCCTTGAATGATTTTGTTCTTAAAATAAGTACAGGCTGAGCGCAGTGGCTCACACCCATAATCCTAGCACTTTGGGAGGCTGATGTGGGTGGATCACTTGAGGTCAGGAGTTTGAGACTAGCCTGGCCAACATGGTGAAATCCTGTCGCTATTGAAAATACAGAAATTAGCTGGGCATAGTACTGCGTGCCTGTGATCCCAGCCACTCGGGAGGCTGAGGAAGGGGAATTGCTTGAACTTGGGAGGAAGAGGTTGCAGTGAGCTGAGATTCCAGCCTGGGCGACAGAGCGAAACTGTGTGTCAACAAACAAACAAAAAACTGCTTGAGGTAGAGGTATTCTAATGAGGAAAGTAAGTCTTAGGAGGAGGTTAAATTGCCCAGTATCACTCAGTTTATAAATGGTGGAGCTGAAATTAGAGCTTGAATTTACTTTTCATACCAGATCCTAGGCTCCTAATTTCAACATTATATTTTTCTCAGCAACAAATTGTGTGATTTATTTAATTTGTTCTTTCTTTTTAAACAGGAAGAAGAGAATTTATCCAAAGATTAAAACTTGAAGCAACCCTTAATGTGCATGATGGCTGTGTAAGTAATTGTTAATTCTCAACTCTGAAGGGCTTTGATACTAAGTGTTTAAGTGTTTGATGAAATGTCCCAATCCTCCCAGAAAGGACTGTGACTATAATAAAATGGGAGAGTAAAGTTTTACATTAAAATATAAAATTAAATTTTGAATTTAGAAGAGTGTATGCAAGATTTTTTAAAGTGCAGATGAGTTTTCTTATATTATGGAAGGACTTCCATCTCATTCACTGTGCTGAAACTGCCTTTGTGACTTCATGTCATCAAATGTAGTGGTCACTTCTTAGAAACTTTAGACATATCGCTCAAACATATCCTCTTTTTTTCCTTTCTTGTTTTTTTTTGGGACGGAGTCTCGCTCTGTTGCCCAGGCTGGAGTGCAGTGGCGCGATCTCGGCTCACTGCAAGCTCTGTCTCCCGGGTTCACGGCCGTTCTCCTGCCTCAGTCTCCTGAGTAGCTGGGACTACAGGCGCCTGCCACCAAGCCCAGCTAATTTTTTTGTATTTTTTAGTAGAGATGGGGTTTCACCGTGTTAGCCAGGATGGTCTCCATCTCCTGACCTCGTGATCCGCCTGTCTCGGCCTCCCAGAGTACTGGGATTATAGGCGTGA